CTTGGGCACATTATTTAGCATCTTTGTACTAAAGTTTCTTCATCTATGAAATGGAATAATAATGGCACCTACCTATGCTATTATTGGAGTTGTCATGAGGAATATACATACTGAACCCAACACAGTATTTGGCACATAGGAAATGTATGTGTAATTCAAGTTGATGTCATTGTAGTGAACGGACAGTTTTACATCCAAGAACACTTGTGTTCTTCACAGCAGCCCTGTAAGACAAATATTTTATGGAGACAAGTGTTTCAGTTGGCAGATGTGAGAACCAAACTAGGACAAGTACTTGGGAACTGCATGACAAAGAGACAGCTTGCCTCAAAAAAGGAGAATGTTTTTGGTGCTTAGAAACCCATTCCTGGCCAGGCGTGGTGGCTCATGCCTGTAATCCCTATATTTTGGCAGGTTGAGGCAGGCAGATCATCTAAGGTCAGGAGTTCAAGACCAGCTTGGCCAACATGGTAAAACCCCATCTCTACTAAAAATACAAAAATTAGATGGGTGTGGTGGAAGGTACCTGTAATCCCAGCTATTCAGGAGGGTGAGGCAGGAGAATTACTTGAACCTGGGAGCAGGAGGCTGCAGTGAACCAAGATCATGCCACTGCACTTCAGCCTGGGTGACAGAGCCAGACTCCATCTCAAACAAACAAACAAAAAGAAACCTATTCTTGAGTCTCAGCCCCTGGCTTAGTCATAAGACCTCAAGAAAGTCATTCACCTCTCCAGGTTTCTCTGAGCTTGTTCATAGAATGGGAATAACAGTTTCTATCTAGAAGGGTTTGGGGGGTGAATAAAGCAATCATGAGGTAGTGTAGTGTAATGGGTTAAGAGCACTGGCATTAGCCAGGTGTGGTAGCTCATGTCTGTAGTTTCAGCACTTTGAGAGGCCAAGGCAGGAGGATGGCTTGAGCCCAGGAGTTTGAGACCAGCCTGGGCAACATAGTGAGACCTCTTCTCTATAAAAAATAAATAAAATTAGGCAGGCATGGTGGTACAAGCCTGTAGTTTCTGCTACTCGGGAGGCTGAGGTGGGAGGATCGCTTGAACCTAGGAGGTTGAGGCTGCAGTGAACTGAGATGATGCCACTGCATTCCAACCTGGGTGACAGAGGGAGACTGTCTGAAAAAAAAAAAGAAAGAAAGAAAAGAAAAGAAAAAGCACAGATGTTGGTGTCCCAGACCTAAGTGCAAGATCTTATCTCTACCTTGTCCTTTCTTAAGTAAGTTAACCTCTTGTAAGCCCTTATTTTCTCCACCTGTAAAATGGGAAAACAGCAGTACTGTCCATGGGGTTCTTGGAAAACGTAGCATGATAATGTATCTGAAGCATGTTGCCAGTACTTGATGCCCAGCACTTGATCATAGAAGCTGTTGCTAGATTGTGGTTATTTTTTTAGATCACGAGTGTGAACACTTTTTTGGAAAGGTTAAGGAACTCAGTTGGGGAGCTCCTCCAGGGCAGCAAGTCCTCAGACCCTAGACTAGACCTGGACTAGAACAGTGGCCAATTCATAGCAGGTGCTCAGAAAACATTTGTAGAGGGACAGAACCCATGCCTTATTTTCCCTTGCACATAAAAGTGTCCACTATCCCACAGAGCGTGGGAGGTGGGAGGAGTACCTGGGAAAAGCACTCCTGTGAGGTGGAGGGCTCACATACTAGCCCAAGGACAGAAAGAACTTGAAGATGCCTGATGCCTGCTCTCCTCACTCCTCACAGGGCCAGACGTGGAGGCTCACCTCAGGAAGCTGGGCCTGGGCTACCGTGCCCGCTACGTGAGTGCCAGTGCCCGAGCCATCCTGGAAGAACAGGGTGGGCTAGCCTGGCTGCAGCAGCTACGAGAGGCCTCCTATGAGGAGGCCCACAAGGCCCTCTGCACCCTGCCCGGAGTGGGCACCAAGGTGAGGCCTCGGGGTAGGAGCTGCCCTCTCCTACCCCTGAGAAGAGAGCAGGAAATGAGCCAAACCTGGGAGCTGGGTGCAGGCTCAGCTTCCCAAGGTAGGGCAGGAAGGAGAAAGGATATAAGTAGATGTGGGTTTTTTTGTTTGTTTTTTTCATTTCAGTTTTTTTTTTTTTTTTGGAGACCGAGTTTCGCTCTTGTTGCCCAGGCTGGAGTGCAATGATGCAATCTTGGCTCACTGCAACCACCGCCTCCTGGTTCAAGTGATTCTCCTGTCTCAGCCTCCAAAGTAGCTGGGATTAGAGGCATGTGCCACCACACCTGGCTAATTTTGTATTTTTAGTAGAGACGGGGTTTCTCCATGTTAGTCAGCCTGGTCTCAAACTCGTGACCTCAGGTGATCCGCCCACCTCAGCCTCCCAAAGTGCTAGGATCACAGGCATGAGCCACCATGTCCGGCCAGTAGATGTTTTATGAGAAAAAAAAGCAGAGTGCAGAAAGAGTGGAAACGATATAGCCCTTTGAATGAATTTCTGGAAAGACCATTTCTTCAGATGTAACACATATATGGCTCTATATATATATATGCAGAAATTTCCAGAAGGAAATTGCAGGAAGCTAAATAGTAGTTTCCTTTGGGGAGACAAATGGGAAGATATTTCTCCTTTTCAGGTTTTTTTTTTTTTTTTTTAATATAGAAACAAGCTCTTACAGTCTTGCCTAGGCTGGTCTTAAACTCTTGCCCTCAAGTAGTGTTCCTGCTTTGGCCTCCCAAAGTGCTGGAATTACAGGCATGAGCCACTGCTCCTGGCCACATTTTGTTCCTTTCATAAAATTACATGTACTGACAAAACTTTTTGTTTGATGTCAGTAGGGTCAACTGGCAAAATGATTGGAAATTAGGCATTTGTCTTTTTTTTTTTTTTTTGAGACAAAAAAAAAAAAAAAGACAAATGTTGCTTTGTTGCCAGGCTAGATTCGGCTCACTGCAACCTCCCGCCTCAGCCTCCCAAGTAGCTGGGATTACAGGCACACGCCACCATATCCAGCTAATTTTTGTATTTTTAGTAGAGATGGGGTTTCACCATGTTGGCCAGGATGGTCTCAAACTCCTGACCTCATGATCCGCCTGCCTCGGCCTCCCAAAGTGCTGGGATTACAGGCATGAGCCACCACACCAACCTATTTTTTTCTCTTTACGCTTCTCTGTAGTTTAAGAAATTAATTTTTTTTTGCCGGGCGCGGTGGCTCAAGCCTGTAATCCCAGCACTTTGGGAGGCC